AATGATGATGGTGATGCTGTTCCTGATGCTGATGTTGATTCTAATGATTTTCACCATGCGTATGATACAGATGCTGCTGATGATGATGGTTACGACGATGACGATAGCCATGCTGTTTACACTGTTGCTGCTACTGATGATGATGATGCTGCCGATGATGATAATGCTGCTGCTGCTGCTGATGCTGATGATGATGATGATGATGATGATGATGATGATGATGATGATGATGATGATGATGATGATGATGATGATGATGGCGATGCTGCTGCTGCTGAGAATGATGATCAATTATGATGATGCTGATGATGCTGATGTTGCTGATGCTGATGCTTGTGGTGGTGGTAGTAATGACGATGCTGACGCTGCTGACAATGCTGATACTGTTGATCGTGATGATGACGATGATGATGATGTTGATGATGCTGATGCTGATGGTGATGATAATGCTGATGATGCTGCTGATGCTGCTGCTGGTGATGATGATGCTGATGTTGCTGATGCTGCTGCTGCTGCTGACGGTGATGATGATTATGAGGATGCTGCTGCTGCTGCTGCTGCTGATGATGATGATGCTGATGATGATGATGATGATGATGATGATGATGATGATGATGATGATGATGATGATGATGATGATGATGATACTGATGCTGATGATGATGATGATGATGCTGATGATGATGATGATGATGATGATGATGATGATGATGATGATGATGATGATGATGGTGACGATGAGCAGGAGGAGGCGGATGATGAGGAGGAGGAGGAGGATGCCGCCTAGCAGCAGTCTCAGCCACCCGTCCCTCTCCCTCGCTTATCCTAGTGCCTCTGGCGTCTCGCCGTTTCGCCGCCTCCCTGCCCTCTCGTGTGACACCTCCTTCTCCGACCACACGCCGCTCTAATTCTCGCCCCCCAGGCTGCAAAGCAGCATTTGGGGGGGGTACTGCTGCGTCTGAGACAGACACCGACGCCACCAGCATGAACAGGAGCAGAGCTGGAACTGTTCAGGGTGCAGGACAATCTAGCCCACGCAGCTTGTTGGCCCCCAAGGAGCCAGCGGATTTTCGCCCCCCCCCCCCCCCCCTCTACCCCCCAGGCTGCGGAGGCAGCTTTGGGGGGCATTGCTCTGTTGAAGGCGAACACAGAAACCACCACCGTCGAAGAGGATGAGCTGGAGGAGGAGGAGAAGGAGGAGGAGGAACAGGACGAGGAGGAGCAGGAAGAGGAGGAGGACGACGACGACGGCGACGACGACGGCGACGAGGATGACGACGACGACGCCGTGGCCGAAGCCGACGTCAACGACGGAGGCGGCGACGCCGACGAACGCCAGCGTGTCCGCGCCCAGCAGGCGCTCGGCCAGCCTTGAGGGCTGGCGCTGGCGACGCTGGCGGCGCCGCTGCGCCCCCGGGCTCGCCGGGGGACGGCGACCCACTGCCATGCTTCCGGCCTGACCCGCCCTGGGAGGCGCCCGGCGGTGCCATCGCTCGACTCGGAGGAGGGCCAGTCGAGACAACGGCCACCCTCCTCCTGCTGCTCCTGCTCCCGCTCCTGCTCCTGCTCCTGCTCCTGCTCCCGCTCCTCCTCGTCCTCGTCCTTCTCCTCCTGCCCCTGCTCCTCCTCCTCCTTCTCCTCCTTCGCCTCCTCCTTCTCCTCCTGCCCCTGCTCCTCCTCCACCTTCTCCTTCTTCTCCTCCTCCACCTTCTCCTCCTGCTCCTTCTCTTCCTTCTCCTGCTACTCGCGGGTACTGCGTTCGCTCTGCGAAGCCCCCAGCTGCCGCTGAGGCCCCGCGCTGACACTGCACCTGTTGGCTACACCCCAGCAAAAGGCTGCTTCTGCTCCTGCTCCTGCTCCTGCTCCTGCTCCTGCTCCTGCTCCTGCTCCTCCTCCTCCGACGACGACAGCGACCTCCTCCTCCTCCTTCTCCTCCTCCTCCTCCTCTTCCTCCTCCTCCTACGACGACGACCTCCTTCTCCTCCTCCTCCTCCTCTTCCTCCTCCTCCTCCTCCTCCTCCTCCTCTTCCGGCAAAGACGACGCCGGCGACCTCCGACGACGGTGACGTCGACGTCGACGACGACGATGACGACGACGACGACGACGACGACGACGACGACGACGACGACGGCCACGGCTTGCCAAAGACAAGGGCCAGGCGAGTCATCGGCAATTTTGGGGCTCTCACAGACAACGGAGTTCTTCGGAGGGCGCAAACAGTGCACACACACACGCATGCAATCTTCGGGACGGGGGGCAGGGGCAAGAGGGCGAGGAGTGAGAGGAGGGGCGGAGAGATGGGGAGGATGGACAGGATGATGATGATGATGATGATGATGATGATGATGATGATGATGATGATGATGATGATGATGATGATGATGATGATGATGATGATGATGATCATGGTGGTGATTGTTCTGCTTATGACCATGAGGATGGTTATGGTGATGGAGATGGTGATGGCGAGCGGGATGATTATGATGATTGCGGTTGTCATCATGATGGTGGTGATGCTGAGGAGGAGCGCGGCGATGATTATGATGATGCTGCTGCTGATGATGATGACGATGACCATCATCACGATGCTGCTGATGATGATGATGCTGGTGGTGGTGGTGATGATGATGGTGACGGTGATGTTTACCATGCTGATGCTGCTGCTGATGATGATGATGATGATGATGGTGATGATGTTGGCGATGCTGCTGCTGATGGTGCTGGTGGGGGTGAGAATGATGATGATGCTGCCGATGATGATGATGATGATGCTGATGATGATCATGATGATGATGCTAAGGATGATTCTGCTGGTGATGATAATGCTGATGATGATGATTACGATGATGATGATGATGGTGGTGATGATGATGAATATGCTGATGTTGCCTTTGACGACATGATTCTGTTGATGATGCTGCTGATGCTGCTGATGCTGATGCTGATGCTGATGATTATGATGGTGAGGTTGATGATGAGGGCGATGATGATAATGATGATGATGCTGATGATGCTGATGATGATGAAAATGCTGCTGCTGCTGGTGATGACGATGATGAGGAGGATGATGATGATGCTGATGATGAGATGATACGTGTGATGCATTTCTTGTTATTGTTGTTGATGCTGCTGCTGCTGCTGATGATGATGATGATCATGATGGTGAGGTTGATGATGAGGACGATTATGATAATGATGCTGATGCTGATGCTGATGATGATGATGATGATGATGATGATGATGATGATGATGATTAAAATGCTGCTGCTGCTGATGATGATGATGACGACGAGGAAAAGGAGGAGAAGGAGGACAAGGATAGAGGCCAGCTTTTCAGTACCATCTAACGCAGTAACTTCCTCCTCATGCAGTAGTGCACAACTTTCCAACACCAACTCACCCTCGCCGCACTGATTGACCCGTCTATGCAGATGAGCAAGCAGCCGGAGCCTTGTCGAGATATGGGTGTGGCACGCCTGACACTTGCAATCGCGGCCGGCATAAGGACGCATAATATTCCTCACGCATAATATGGCTTCGCAAGGCCTGCCTGTGCTAAAACTCTGGCACACAGCGGGGCTTAAGCATCCCACAAGCAGGGGGCCCGCTGTCAAGGCTGACGGAATACGTGTCGGCCGAGTGTTCCTGTAATGTGGGAACTGTGAATTGTTTGTAGTTGTTTTCGTCCTGGAGCGTCTTATTGAGCACAGCGCAGGCAAAAGCAACAACGGAGGGAGGGCAAGGAGAAGAGAGGAGGGGAGCAGTGGGAAGGAGTTAGGACACGGAGGACTTGAAGGAGGATGCGGAGGACGAGGAGGAGTAGGCGGGGGGGGGCGAGGAGGAGAGAAGGGAGCATGGGCAGAGAGGGTGGAGGAGGAGGAGGCGGAGGAGGAGGAGGAGGACCAGTGTAAACCTAAGGCTCATCAGCGATGTTGCAATGAAACCTCCTTCCAAGTTCTCTCTTCATAGGGCCCCACAAGAGTTCACTCTCACTGATGGAACTGCCCCGTTGGAAGACAACTGTCTGAAAATCCTGAACCGTACCAGAACATCATTCCGGGACTTCATCGCCGAGAACCAACGTTAGTATTGCGTCTTGACTATCCTGAATCGTACCAGACCGCCTTTCCTGGGACTACAACTCCGCAGATCAACACAACTGTTGCGCCCTGACAGTTCTACGTCGTGCCGAGACAACTTCTGCGACGTCAGCCTTTACCATCCGTGAACATGTTGTGCACTCTTTCGACGAATCTGCTTGGCGCGAAGGCGAGAATCACATTTTGCAAAGGTACCGCCCTCCATCCGTGAAGTGTCGGCAAACTTTTCACACACATGTGCGCGGCGCCCAGGGGAGAGACACTTTTTGAAAACGACCCGCCCTCTGTCCGCAAAGCTCTTGCAAACTTTGAAGACGAATGCGCGCGGCGCTGAGGCTTGGCATCGCTCGGACGTGTGCATTCTTCCTTCGGCGAGGATCATCGAGGAGCATCCTTGATCATTTGGCGAAAAAACCACGCACGAAACCGAAGAAAACACGGGGAATGGACGTCCGAGCGATGGCGAGGAGGCGAGAGCCACATTTTGAAAACAGCCCGCCCTTCATCCGTGAAGCTGTTGCAGATGTCCAGCGTAAGGGTCCCATGCACGGTGAGGATGTCTTAGGCGAAACGCCCGGACCGCCCCACGGACACGCTTCGGGGTGCGACAGGGAGGAGTTATTCATAAGGAAAAGGGGCAGAGGAGGAGGAGGAGGAGGAGGAGGAGGAGGAGGAGGAGGAGGAGGAGGAGGAGGACGGAGGAGGAGATGGACGGAGGACGGAGGAGGAGGAGGAGGAGGAGGAGGAGGAGGAGGAGGAGGAGGAGGAGATGGACGGAGGACGAAGGAGGAGGAGGAGGTTCAACGGCCAAGATCAGGAGGACGAGTAGGCCTCGTGCTTCTCGGGAATTTCCCCCCCCCGCTGCCCCCGAGGGCCCCGGCGCGGCCGCGTCGGCTGCCCGCCAGCCTCCGCGGCAGGCGCTGTGCCTCAGCGGTGCTGATCGCGCTCCCTGTGGTGCTCCGAGCTGCTTCCGCCTCGACCACCGGGAAGACTTCCGAGCACCAGGAACGCACCGAGACTGGAGGGCTTTCACGCGTCGGCAGGCGATTTGCCCTTCGACACCTTTTGCCAGCGCGTCGGGCAGACACTCCCTCCCGATACCCTTCGTGGTGCCCGAGGTTAGTTCTGGGGTGTGGTCGTGCAGTGCGATGAGAACAGATCGCTTCCGTCTCCGTCATCCCATCGTCGTCGTTTTGTTGATGTTGTTGATGTTGTTGTTGTTATTGTTGTTGTTGCTGCTGTTTTTGTTGCTGTTGTTGCTGTTGCTGTTGTTGTTGCTGTTGCTGTTGCTGTTGCTGTTGCTGTTGTTGTTGTTGTTGTTGTTGTTGTTGTTGTTGTTGCTGTTGCTGTTGCTGTTGCTGTTGTTGTTGCTGTTGTTGTTGCTGTTGTTGTTGTTGCTGTTGTTGTTGCTACTGTTGTTGTTGCTGTTGCTGTTGCTATTGCTGTTGCTGTTTTTGATGATCGGCACTCCCGTCTCCTCATGCTCCTCTCCTGCCTCCCTTCTCGGTTTAAGCCGCCCCGACGAGAGGTCGGAGGGGCGGCTGCGCCAACTTTGCCACTCAGCGAGGGGCCGCCATCGGCTTGTGAACAGATGCGTCACGTAGACTTAAAGTCGGGCCTGTCCTCTCTACAGGAGGAATATTCCAAAATAGTAAAAGATAGTCTGGGGACGATGTTTCGATTCTTTTTGACAGTTCTTCCGCATTTTCGCATTCTTTTCTAATCTTCATCCAAAATCCGCCTGTAGAGAGACAGGCCCGACCTAAACGCAAAGAGTCGTTGTCGCGCTTGTCGCTGCTTCCTGCTGCTGGCGTCCGCCGCCGCCTCCCCCCTTTCGTGGGCGTGTGCGCGGCAGGCTCGTGCCGTGCATGACGCGGCGGCGAGACCGCCGCGGGCGTGGAGTGCCGCCACTGGCCCGGGATCGGCCAATAGGGAACGATCTTCAGAGGAGGGGGAGGTACCTTGGGTTTCTTGATAAGCGTGGGGGGTAACCCCCCCGACGGGTGTCAACCTCGCCTCGTCGTCGCGCCGCGACGGGGGTCGAAGTGCCTTTGGCGCGCGGTGGCTGCCTGCGACGGGGGTCGATGCGGGGCTGTCGGCGGGGTGACGCCCCCCCGACGTTTATCAAGAAACTCGGAGTACCCATATTTACTGCTACCCTTACCTCGTTTTCCCTTTTTTGGGCCTCCTGGGAGGCCCTCGTCGCCACGGCCGGATTCGCATCGAAATTTTAGCCAGAACGCACCCCAGGGGAGTTCCGGGGAGTGGCGGTATCGGTACCTTTTGGTTTCCCCATATCTGGCGACCCACGCGCTGTCAGGAACCAGCTCCATGGGCGTCACAACACGAACCTGCCGTGCCTTCCTGCGTTGGCGCGCACTGAGCGCTCGTCGCGCGCATGGTCCGTCCGTCGCCGTTGCCATCACCTCGGGTAGGGATGGAAATGCTCGGTTGTGCGTCCGCTGCAGGAAGAGAACAACATCCCATCGTTGCCCCTGTCCCTCTCATCCTCCCCTTGAGTTGGGCCCTGTGAAGCATCACGGCGGAAGGCTTCTTTGGGGGCATTTCTGGCCTCTGGGGGCCCTTCCGGGGCCCCCCTGGTTGCCAGGGAACGGCTCGGTATAAAAACGACCGCCCCCCCCCCGACTTGTCCCGATCCTATTTCGTCGCGCTCCTGGCTTCGGCCTGTCTCCCTTGAGCGCCGCGATCGACGCCACGGCCGAGCGCTGCGTCCGCGGGCCGCGACGGAGCTGCAGGGGCAGAGCCGCGGTCGACCGCCGCGACCGAGCGCCGCGGCCGGGCGCCACGACCGAGCGCCACGACCGAGCACCGTGGCGGAGCTGCAGACGCAGAGAGCAGTGGTCGCGCACCGCGACCGAAGGCCAGGGTGCCCCCCCTCCCCTTTCCCCGTCCAGGCTGGTGCTGTGGAGCGTGACGGCCTATATTCCTTCTACGTGGGCTCCGCCCGGCTCCGCGGCTCGCTGCGCGGCTCCGGCACGCCCATCGAAGAAGTGCATGCTCTGACAGGCCTCGAATAGCGCCCTTTCGTCGGACTTTCTTGCAATTTGCTCAAGCGCCGCGCTCCCGACACCCAGGAACCCAGGAGTCGCGCTCACGCTTAGGATTCCTTTACAGATTTCGCTGCCCTTCGTGGCCCCGTTGCAGCCCTTCGTGGCCCCCTTCGCTTTGTTTCGTGGCCCCGTTGCAGCCCCTCGTGGCCTCCTCGCTGCCCTTCGTGGCCCCCTCGCTGCCCTTCGTGGCCCCCTTCGCTTTGTTTCGTGGCCCCGTTGCAGCCCCTCGTGGCCTCCTCGCTGCCCTTCGTGGCCCCGTTGCAGCCCTTCGTGGCCCCGTTGCAGCCCTTCGTGGCCCCCTCGCTGCCCTTCGTGGCCCCATATATGTATGCCCTTCGTGGCCCCCGCTCGTTCGCGCCCGTGGTGGCCCCATTATGCATGCCCCTTCGTGGCCCCGCTGTCGCCCTTCGTGGCCCCCTCGCTGCCCTTCGTGCCCCGTTGCTGCCCTCAGTGGCCCCGTCCTTGCCCTCCGCGGCCCAACATACGTATGCCCTTCGTGGCCCCCGCTCGTTCGCGCCCGTTGTGGCCCCATGTGCATGCCCTTCGTGGCCCCGCTGTCGCCGTTTGTGGCCCCCTCACTGTCCTACGTGGCCCAGTTGCTACCTTCAGTGGCCCCATCGTTGCCTTCTGTGGCCCCGCATTATCTGCCTTTCGTGGCCCCCGCTCGTTCGCGCTCTTCGTGGCCCCATACGCATTCCCTTCGTGTCCCCGCTGTCGCCCTTCGTGGCCTACTTCGTGCCCTTCGTGGCCCTGCTGTCGTTCTCTCTCGCTCTCGCTTTCGCTCGTCGTCGCCGTCGTCGTCGTCGTCGCCGTCGTCGTCGTCGTCGCCGCCGTCGTCGTCGAAGTCGTCGTGGTCGGGCCCCTGTCCGTCCCTCTAGGGGTCGTGTCGACGGTCCGCGGCCGCCCCGCTGATCAGCTCTGCCGCTGGCCAGGCCGACGGTCCGCGGCCGCCCCGCCGCTTGACGGGGCCAGGCCTGCAGGGAAGAAAGGTATACCCCCCAAAAGGGGTTCGATCGAAGACGGCGAGGGCGGGTACCGAGGGTTTGGGAAATACGCGTTATTGGACACTCGAGCAGAAAAGGGCGAACAGTCTTAACATGATTGTTGTTGTCGTGGTGGTTGCTGTTCTTGTTTATGGTTGTCTGTTGCTTGTAGTCCTTCTCTTTTGTTTCAAGTGTTCGCCTGGTCGGTTGGCACGCCCCGGTGGGGCGTTGCAGCCGGGCGCCGCGATCGAGGGCCGCGGGTGAGCTTCAGAGGCGGAGCGCCGCGGCCAGCCGCCGCGATCGGAGGCCACGGCCGAGGCGCCCGCGGCGTCGGCGCGCCCCAGCGAGCCGCCGCCCGCGGCAGCCGCCGCCGCCCGGCTGGCGCGGGCGGTGCCCGGCCCTGCCGCCGCGCCGAAGGACCCCTGGCGGCGGCGGTGGGCGGCGGCGGACGGCGTCGGCAGCGGCGGCGGCGGCGGCTGCGGGGCAGGTGGCCGCTGCCCCAGAGGTTCTGTGCCTCGAGGCCTCGGTGCTTTCCCGACCGCCCTGTGGTTTTGGGCCCTCGTCTTGAATCCGCAGCGCCTCGCGCTCACTCCTCCTTCCTCCTCCCGCTCTTCCCTCCTCCCGCTTCTGCCCTCCGCATGTCCTCGTCGCCATCACCCCTGACACGTTTCGTGGCCCCATAAGGAGCTCCACCGAAGGCCCCCATGGCAGGAATTACATGCGTCCTCAGTCCCTTTTTGGCACACGCTTCGCAAGTTTCGTGGCCGCATAGGAAGCTCCACCGAAGGCCGCAGTGGCAGGAAGCACATGCGTCCCCAGGTGCACTTCGGCACACCCCTCACACACTTCGTGGCCCCACAAAAAGCTTCATCGAAGGCCGCAATGGCAGGAATCACATGCGTCCCCCGCCCATGTCGCCCCCCCGCCTCCCCATCCTTCTTTTCACCTGCCTCGCGATGCTCGCAGCTGCATGTGGTTGGGTTCCTCGCTGGGCAAATTGTTTTTGTTTGTCCAATCATCCTCTGGTGTTGGGTCCTCGTTATGAAGAGGCAACGCCCCGCGTCTGTCCTCTTCCTCCTCCTTCCCTTTCTCCTCCTGCTCTCCTCTCCCCCCTTCTCTCTCCTCCCCATCACTGCCTCTGCCCTCCGGATGTCCATTTCGGCACATCCCTCACACGTTTCGTGGCCGCATAGGGAGCTCCACTGGAGCCCCCAGGGGATGGTGCCACATAGCGTCCCCACGTTCATTTCGGCACACCCTCACGCTTTTCGTGGCTCCATAAGGAGCTTCCCTCCTTCGTCCCACCTTCCTTGCTACTCGCATTTGCATATTGTTAGGTGCTTCGCCAACGTACTTTGTTGTTGTTGTTGCTGCTGCTGCTGCTGTTGGTTTTGCTGTTGCTGTTGCTGTTGCTGTTGCCGTTGTTGGAGTTGTTGTAGTTGTTGTGTTTTTTGTTGTGGTTTTTGCTTTTGTTGTTGTTTTGAGCTCTCATTTCTGAAGTATAATTATTGTTGATCCCCCCCGCCCGGTGCACATCGCATTTTTTCGATTGAAGTGCCCCTCCAGGGGCTCGCACCCGGTTTTTATCAGGGGAAGTCTTGAGGCTCAAACTGTGTCGTTGGCCCCCGAATTACAACAGAACGGCTCCCGCACGATACTTCTCCACAATTTATTGAAGAATCGCGCTCTCGCTTGGGACTTCCGGGCAATTTACCACAGAATCGCGGCTCCCGCTTGATATCTCTTAACAAATTATTGCAGAATCGCGTTCTCGCTTGGGACTTCCTCGCAACTTACCACCGAACCGCTTCGCTTGATATTCCCGCACAATTACTCAGATGCCGG